ACAAGCCCTTTTAGAATATTCATGATGTCACCACTGCTCACTTCTGAAGTTTAATCTAATTTTTGTTTAGATTCCAGATCCTCTGACCCCGAAATAGTGGGTGTTTTAGTCTGCACTTTTCTTTTTTGCTTTAGGTAGTATGTCTCTCTACTCCATTAGATTGTAAGCAGTGGTGACAGACACTTGGTGCTGGCCACTGTCTCACCCCCAGGGCCTGAGATGGCGTGGGGTGCTCCAAATACCAATGAAATATTGGCCGAATGGATACCTTTGGTATAGTAGTTAGATAATTTCATAATTTAATCTTTTTTATTTATATATGATGATTTTATATTAACTTTATAAGGTTTGTTTTTAAAATTAACAAAAGAAATGAAATATATACTGAAATAAAAATTTAAGAAAGTAAAATTTTTAACTGAGTATAAGTAGATATCTGCAAAACATTACATATCTGTGACACTTAAGTACCTATAATTTGGTAAAAAAGTCCTTTTTAGAAACAGAGTATCTCTGCTTCTGTCCAGACCATAATATTAAAATACCATGAGTTTTTCAACATTTTTTCTCCTAATAACATGCTAAACAAAGAGAGAAAATAGAGAATATAGACTAAATTTTCTTGTTAGCTCTAATTCTATTATTGTGTTAATTAATACTTTGACCTTTTGAGTGGATATTCAACAGCCTTTTCGAATCCTTTATTTTATCTAAACAAGTCACATTTTGTATCATTTCCTCAGTGGAGTGGTACAGAAAGTGACAGTCTTCTTCAAATTTGTTGACAATATTTCTGGACAATGCGAAGAATAATTCACATCTCTAGCTTGATGCAGGGTACAAATACCTAGAATAATTATGTAAGTAAGCAATTGAGATGAAATTTTAAAAATCCTCCCATGTATTCATTTATTGAAGTTCTCACTTTTTGTTTAACATGTTTCTATTGAAAGAAATTGTTTATGAAACACATTCTGAGAAATTGATAACTTATATTAATACTCAATATCTATATATTGATTTATAGTTCATTTTTCAATTTATAGTTTGTAATCTTATTCAAAAATGTATTCCTCGACTAATACCGGAGGTAGATTTCATTGATATCTGCTGTTCAGGTAAAGAAACAGACTCAAATGTATTACCTGTTTGCTCCAAATCCAGGTAGGATACTTGCTTCTTTGCCTAGCTATCAAAAAAGTTGCATGTTTAATAAAGGTCATACTTATAGTTTGTGGAAAATGAATGTTGTAGTGATTTTTTAATCAACATAATAGTAATCTAAGGATGACATTTTAGTAAGCTGGCCCAAGTGTGCCTCTTTTTTTAGGAAAAGAAATCATAGTGTGAAGTAATTGATAGACACAAATGATTATCTTTTTTCCCATGATTATCTTTAAAGTCAAATACTGTTTGTAGTTCCATAAAATGATTAAGTTGAAACTTAGAAAATTGCCAGTGTTTATTTCACTTTGACTATGAAATGCAAATTTCATGTAATCCTACCTAATAATATATGCTCTCTGGATTCCTGGTATTTGCATGGTGTGCTTTTATCTGGATCACACTTTCCCCATTAATTCATTTTTTTTTTTTTTTACTCAAGTATTAGCTCATTTGCTCAATTCCACCTGGAAAATCATTTCTTTTTCCTAAATTAATACTCAGATTCTTTTTTTCTTTTTTTTTCCAATCATTTTGGTCTATATCTCTTCTACAGCAATTATATTACCTATTTCTCTGTATGTCTCTGTCTTTTATGAGACTTGGTTTTGTTTGCTTCTTGCACACCACACGCATTACAGTATTTTTTTGTATGCCAACTTCATGAACAAGAACAGGTCTAGGGCTTGAACAATGGGTCTGAGAGGAATACAAAGAGGTTGCCAGGAGCTTGAGGGTGGGTGAAATGGGGAAAGGTTGGTCAAAGAGTATAACTTTCAGTTATAAAATAAATAAAGTCTAGGGATCTGATGTACAACATGACTATAGCTGAGAAAATTCTTTGTATAAATTTGCTAAGTAGAACTTTTAAAAATGATAAATATGTAAGGGGGTGGATATGGTAATTAATCACATGGAGAGAATCTTTTCACTGTGTATATGCATTTCAAACCATTATGATGTACCTTTTAAACATTTATCAATTTTATTTTTCTCAATACATCTGAAGAAAATATGCTCTGGGGGCCACACATGCTACTCATTTCACACTCGCGGTGACATCAGCTTGCATTCAGATTCTGACCAGCATTTTACTCACCTGAGATACTTAGGTGACTTAAAGCTTAATCTAAGGAAATATGAAATGGGGACTCTTTTTAGACTTTCTAGACTATCACAATATATTTCCATTATAGATTTTAAAGTGTTATAAAAGGAAAATCACATGTATTGGTTCAGAAAAAAATTGGACAAAACTCTACCCAGGACAAAGGGGAATTTAAAAAGTTGAGCTCCGAGAATTTGTCATAATATAGCCATCCATGTTTGTCTACTTTGTCTACTCTTTGCTTTTGATTTGTCTTTGCTCCTCTCATCAGTGTGTACAACAGTGGTAAGCCCCAAGCAAGTAGATGTAGGGAATAGTTTAGAAATCTAATCAATGCAACAAGATTTTTTTCTTAGAATTTTATTTGAAAATTAAAACAAAAACCTTTCCATTGTCATATGAAAGGAAGAAAAATGAGCATTCCTAGTCAAGACTTTTGTGCTCATTAATGTTGGCTCTTTTCTAGAAATCTGTGTTCTCAAGAATAGTGTACACATTCAGGGTTAGTTCAAAAGAATTAATGGTACCTGCTGATGGTAACTGATTCTATTACATCAGTGGCTTCCTATTTTGTAAAGTGATAAAACCCCTAAAGCATGTGGAAGTTTTTATAAAGCAAGTGCAAGTTGAGGGATGTACATTAAAGAGGGACCAGGATATTGAAACCTATGTATATTCAGTTTACCTGTACATATGTAGGGAGTAATTTAATTAATTAAAATCATTTAAAAATATATACAAAGTCAGAATTTCACCAGTGTTCTTAAACCTACATACCCAAAAGGGAAACATTTTTAATGTTTGGTCAGATTTGTGTATTTATTTATTTATTTATTTATTTATATTTACCTTTTTAAAGATTTTATTTATTTATTTGACAGAGAGAGACACAGCAAGGGAGGGAGCACAAGCCGGGGGAGTAGAAGGGGAGAAGCAGGCTCCCCACTGAGCAGGGAGCCCGATGCAGGGATCCATCCCAAGACCCCAGGATCATAACCTGAGCCGAAGACAGACACTTAACCACCCAGGCATCCCAGATGCATGTATTTAATACAGAAAGGCAGGTAGTGAGATAAATTATTCCTTGTCTAAAAATCAAGACTGCATGTGTCAACAAGGTAAACATAAGTTTTTACAGTTTGCTATCAATCTTAGTTAAGCAAATACACATATGATGAGATTACACACAGTATTCAGGATACCATTCTGTCTATGCAGATCCCAACACTAACATGTTTTCATGAAGAAAACACCTTATAAACATGTACGGACAGTATGACAAGCACTTTGACAACCTATGACATAAAATTCTAAAAATCATTCCTAAAACTTAAGTATTAGTATCTCAATTTTTTTAAGAGTAAAAAAACTAGTGGGATGTCTGGGTGGCTCAGTGGGTTAAATGTCTGCCTTCAGCTCAGTCATGATCCCAGTGTCCTGGGATCGAGTCTCACATTGGGCTCTCTGCTCAGCAGGGAGCCTGCTTCTCCCTCTTTACTCCCCCTGCTTGTGCTCACACTCTTTAGCTTTGTCAAATAAATAAATAAGATATATATTAAAAAAAAAAAAAAAAAAACCTAGTAAGTGGCAACGCCAGGACTCAAAATATGCCCCTACCCTTCAGCCTGGCTATTATGGTAATCCAAAATAAGACCATTACCCTAATACAATGCAAATTTATTATTGTAGGCATGGGTTGAATGAAAATGTTTTATTAGATTATTCAATTAACAGCATATGAATATGATTTAACTAGGAATGTTTTATAAGGAAAAAGATAAATCGATGTAGAGCAATAACGTACAAATTACATTGGTTTTATAAGACTGCATGTGGAGAGAGTCTATTCTTTGAAGTATAACATTATAAAATTTGGGTCTGTCATCTTGCAACTAAAGATATTTTTGTTTGACACATTGTTAAAAGCACTTTAATTCTAGAAAATTCAAAACAATAACTTCTATAATCAATTTACTTTAATTTCCAGAATTAATCACAATCTCACTATGTGATCTTGACAGCGTATCTTTTTTTTGACAATAACGAACCACTTGACTGACACATTCATGTCTTGAAAGAAAAGAATTAAATGTGATCTGATGTGTTCATAACTGCGTTACTTCACTTTTTTATGTTCTGAAATAGGAATTTATTTGACGTGGAACACTTTTGCTGTAGTCTTTATGGGTCAAAGGAAATCATATACATTGCCCCTAAGCTCTAAATGTATTATTTGCTCAAATCAATTTGAAAACTCATTAGTTTAGCTAATACTTTAGTAAGACAATAAGTTTACCACAGCTTTGCTCTCAAATGAGCAGGGAATATATAATTTCAACAAATCATAATGGCTGCTATTCAGATAAGGAAGGAAGAAGGAAAAAAAGAAAAGGGGAAATCAGGCCTGGAGGATGGGAGGAAATCTTGATTTATAGCAGCAGTATTTTCAGAATTTCTAACAAACTTAACTGCTAGAAATCATTTCAGCCCCCGACAAGAATTTATTATGTATTATCAAAACACTCTTTTGAAAGGGGCAAGTAAACTTATTTTTAACCTGATAAAATATTTTAACGTTCTCCCCAAATTAACTTATCCTCTGCAACAGACACAAAAATTTTGATAAGGCAATTTTGATAAAAGCTAATACTAATACTGATAATAATCTCTAGAATAGTAATTATATTCCTGAATCAAAAACCAAGCAACCTGTTTCTGCTTTTCCTAGGTAATTCAGACCATCAGTGCAGTGGATAGAGATGAATCCATAGAAGATCACCATTTTTACTTTAATCTCTCCGGGGAAGACACAAAGAACTCAAGTTTCATAATCATAGATAATGAAGGTAATGCCATTCCCTCATAATGGCTTCTGATCCTTTCTTTGGGAAATGTGCTTGATTTTAAGGGGATTTATAATGTTGCTTTTTGTAAGGTTCTTGCAGTATGATAATGTTGAGAAGTAGAGCAGAGAGAAGCAGTGGAAACAGCAAACAAAACCTGACATCACGTTCTGAAAACACTAGCCCCGTTTCTCACTGGATTTCTTTAAATTAGAGGCACATTTTCAAGTCATCAGTGGCTAGAAGACCTTGCAAAACTGAATGAACCTGCAGATATAATGGCAGTACTAACCCAGTACTTCCTTTCGTGTCTCGTAAAATCAAACTTCAATCTAAGGGGAAGAAAATGATACATACTTACAGTCATGTTAGCTTGATTGATTCAGAGATATTTGGAGTCATTAATTTGAAGCTATAAATATATAAAATTGGTTTAAGATTATTCTCTTTCCTTCAAAATGAAATGATCCTATCAATCTAAAGACACAGTGTGCCATAGGGTTTCATGTGGAGAGACAAGAGTATCTTCTCCTTCCGTGCAGAGGTGGCTTGACTTTGCATGAAGCCACTTTTCTTGTTATAATATGGGCCTACTTTAATTTTACTTTATATCTTGAAGATAAGAAACACCGTAGGATTTATTACTGAAGTATCCATAGCCAAACACCTGCTGATATCCTTCTTTACACCTGATTCTGGGTTTCGATCTATGGGAGATGTTTTGTGGACAATAAATGCAAGCATGTTCTCTCCCTTTTCTCCTTGCCAAATTTCTCAGTGAAGGAAACTCAACTAAATTTAGGATTAAAAAATGCAAATATCAGTAGAAGAAATAAGTTACAACTTAGATTTATTTATATCAACATAAGTCACTGGAGCAAAATAAGTATATTAAAACGAAAATAATTAATTGGGTTTAATATTTGTGATTAAAAAATAATCTGGTAAGATATGAATTGAAAAAATGTAAACTCTCTTACCTTTTCAGTCTGCCTAGTCAATAAAATTCCAAGTTTTACAGTTTCCAAAGCATGATGAAGAATCATTTTAAAAAGATGATTTGGAAAAAAAATAAAAATAAAAAGATGATTTGGGAAAAGTGGTTGGCAAGCACACACATTTTGAAACACTGCATTTATTTGCATTTTTACTGTTTGTGTAACCTAAGTTTTGATTACTACAGAAAATATTTTGGGGGGTGGCAATACAAAAAGGAGGGGGAAATATAGGACTCAGATATAAGAAATTGCACCAAAAAAGCTTAGAATATTTTGGGATTTGGGGAGAAACAACTTCAAAAGGGTCAAAGTATATATATTGTTCATCTGTGCTAATTTCTTAAATGTTCTGACTGGAAGAGTGATCAGTGCTGCTGAGGCTTAACTGTTACCTGAATTTTAAATAGAAAATGGGTTAATAATGTCAAAGTAAAATGAAACATCCCAATAGAATTTTCCTACCAAATAAAACTAATCCTTCTGTCTCATTAGTAAATACATGATTTGAGACCACTTGTTGTGATATTGGTAGATGACTTTGAAAGTCTTACGTATTTATAGTATTTGTGAAAAGAATGAGTTTCTATTAGACAAAGCACTGTGTAGTGAGTAAATAACCCAAATGAAACTCATACTGTGATCATAAATTTAATATCAGTAACCTCTATAAAATATTGACATATGATTAAAAAGTTGTTTTCTGTGTTCCACATTTACGTTTTCTATCTTTATCAAAAACATTTTGGAACTGATTCATGTAATTCATCTAAGATTGTAATTATGGTTTAGGCAATGCCAAATCAATAATGACTTTTTGAGTGGATCTTTTGACTTTTTATCAGACATTTCTTTTTTATTATTTAAACCTACTTGATATATCTATATTATTGCCTCTAGTACAGATGACTGGTATGAATTTCTTCTATATTGTTGAAAAATTACACACATGGGTTTTTGTTTTAGATAACACAGCTGTAATTTTGACTAATAGAACTGGTTTTAGCCTTCAAGAAGAGCCTGTCTTCTATATATCTGTCCTAATTGCTGACAATGGAATCCCATCACTTACAAGTACAAACACCCTTACCATACACATCTGTGACTGCGATGACCATGGCAGTACACAGACCTGCAGAAATAAGGACCTTATGCTTGCCATGGGATTCAGAACAGAAGTCATACTTGCTATCTTGATAAGCGTCATGATAATATTTGGTAAGTAGTGCTGAACTGAACCTATCTTCATTTAAAAGTAGTTAATTCCGTCATCAAAGTATGGGGTGTGTGTGTGTGTGTGTGTGTGTGTGTGTGTGTGTAATTGCTCTTCTGAATATGTTGCAATTCTTAAACCATGGAGTAAATGAAAAATAGAGTGACCATGCATTTCAAGATGAAAATGAATGATCCCCGAATTCTGAGTATGTCAGCATGTGTGTGCACATCTGTGTAGGAATGTTTTTGACACTAAGCATTGGCAGTGGACAGCATATACAGTTATATAACAATTAGTAATAATAGTAGTGACCTTCTGTTGAGTGCTTATTATACTACAGGATACTGTCTTGAGTGTTCACATGCAGTATGTAATTTGATTCTCACGATAACCTTATGAAGTAATAACTATTAATCACCTGTGTTGTATGAATGAAGAAAGTAAAACTCAAAGTGCTAAGTACTTTACAAAGGGTCGTGGAGATGTGCTAAATTCCCATAACTGTACACAGTCTATTTAACCCTGTCCTGCAACTCACTAGAGCCCTAGGACCACAATGAAAGAAAGTAAATAGGTTGGGGGAATGCAAAAGGAGGGCTTTACTTGATCAGAGCGCTAAACACAAAAGAAATTTCAATAAAATAGCTCCTTTTTTTAATAGATTTTACTTACTTACTTATTTATTTATTTATTTATTTTAGAGAGAGGGAGAGAGAGAGTACGCAAGAGGGGCGAGAGGGAGAGAGAGAGTGTGCACTAGAGGGGCAAGGGGCAGAGGGAGAAGGAGATAATCTTCTGTAGACTCAGGGCTGAGCGCCATGAGAGTGGGGCCAAACCTCACAACTCTGAGATCTTGACCTGAGCTGAACTGGAGTTGGCTGCTTAACAGACTGGGCCACCCAGGCGCCCCAAGCTCTGTTTTATTTGTTTGTTTGTTGTTTTCAGGTGTAGATGTCATATCCATTTTACAGATGAGGCAGATGAACCGCAAAATGTTTTATCGGGCTTCCACAACTACAAATAATTCATTTAGCATCACCGTCTTTCTTCAGCAAACCAGTCAGTATATGTAACCTAAACCCTCTCTTACTTCCCTTGTAACTCTATGTCAAGGTCAACACCACTTTATTGAGTCCTGCGAACAGTTGTATCAGCCACCGGTTCTGTAATCCCAAGCTCACTGCTCAAAATGGCATCTGTGTTTCAGGGATTGCTTTGCCCTTACTCTTCTCATCTTTCTCAAAGCTCAAAAATCATGCATTCCTCTTTACCATCCAAATTGCCATTCTTTCCTATTCAGCCTCAGTTTTTATGATAATTTTTAATGGTCTTTGGTCCTAAAACTGAATATAGAGCTACATAGCTGGGAATCAGAATCAAGTGTAGTAAAAACAGTGTAGGGTTTGAAGGGTGATAAGTACTGCTTTACTCATAGGGACAAGACCTAACCCAAGACCAAAAACCCTATGAGTAAAAAGGACAGCCTCACAGTCAAGGTCATGACTAAGATTTAGAGTGTGGGAAGTATGGGTCAACCAAGAGACAGTAGTTTTCTTTGAAAGTGTCATGAATACTCTCTCCCATTCATAGCTTGAAAAAATTATTTATTAGCTCCCTCTCTATACCAACCATATATCTGAACTGAGTTTCACAGTATCTGGATTAAAACTCAATGACCTTATTTCAAGAACACTATTTCAGTGTTTTAAAAGGTAAGATTTACATAAAGTATGGCCTAATATATTTCTCTTTATGATAATATTAATAACATCATTTCATGTTTATTTCAGTTCCTAGAGGTGAAGTTCTGAATAGTTCCAAGGCTATGAAGGGGTTGGCTATTCTCGATACATACATACGCATGCACACACAATTTTCTCTAAATAGACAAAAGGTGCTTTGAAATTTTTCTATTTCTACATCATGTTAAAATTATCTTAATAAATATTGATTGTGGGCATACCGGTGTTACGATTTAAAAAAAATGATAGTTTGGGCTTTCTGAAATTAATGTGAAATCACTGAGCACAGGTTCTAAACCAGCTTTTTGGTGGCGTATACTTTGTAGTCAATGGGTATTAACTTAGAAAATAATTATGCCACAGAATTTGTCTCAGTGGGGAATTTCAGATGGCTCTGTTGTGCTTAACTTCTCTTAACATGGATTATTGGTTACTAAAATTGACAATGCATATAGATTGGAAAATGTTCCCATATGCGCCTTTCCTTTTTCTGTTTTCAATATATAAAAAATACAGTTTTAAATGGATTATCATCACAAAACAGTTCACTCTTATTTTTATGATGTAAAAATAATTGAAATATAGTTATACTGCCTTCTGTCATTCTGCATGCCCCTTTTGTAAATTTTCAACAGCAAATACTGTAGTTGAGTTTTGGGGAATCAAACGTTATTCGGGGATATTCCACTGTACAGGGGATGACGTCACCAACCCCGGCATGGCTCGAGGCTCCACTCTATGTTTTCTTTTCTTATAATCCTAAAATCTAACTCATGTCCTGAGCTTTCAACAAAAGCAAGGATTGCAAGGCTTATTATAAATAACATATAATATTGATGACTATGAACTTATTACATTAATATATATTCACATATTATACTTATTACAGTATGCTGCTTAATGTTCTCATACGCTTTCTTTGTCAGGGTTTATTTTTTTGATCCTGGGTCTGAAACAGCGAAGAAAGCAGACTCTGTTCCCGGAGAAAGGTGAAGATTTCCGCGAGAATATATTCAGATACGACGATGAAGGGGGAGGCGAGGAAGACACGGAGGCTTTTGACATCGCGGAGCTGAGGAGTAGCACCGTCATGCGGGAGCGCAAGCCGCGGAGAACCGCCACCGCGGAGATCAGGAGCCTGTACCGGCAGTCTTTGCAGGTTGGCCCGGATAGTGCCATTTTCCGGAAATTCATTCTAGAAAAGCTCGAAGAAGCTAATACTGATCCTTGTGCCCCTCCTTTTGACTCCCTCCAGACCTACGCTTTTGAGGGAACAGGGTCGTTAGCTGGGTCCCTGAGCTCCTTAGGGTCCGCAGCCTCTGATCAGGATGAAAATTACGACTACCTTAACGAGTTGGGACCTCGCTTTAAAAGATTAGCATGCATGTTTGGGTCTGCCATGCAGTCAAATAATTAGGGCTTTGTTATTATTTAAAATTTTAAAAATGCTAGTATGTGTTCGGGCAAACTGGTAGTCTCTTAGTAAAGAGTTGTGTACTGCAGTTCTCGGGGTGAGGGAGAAAAGTTATAGCATCTTCTGATTTCCTTGGAGTAAATGCCCTTGGTTATTTCAAGCTACCCACATGTTGTCCCCGAATGCAGATGTGGAGTGATGCTAGCAGTCAGCTCTCATGTGCCAGTGCAGGCCAACTGTGGCATGTAACTGAAGTACTCCTCTGGCATTTTTTTCACTATTTTCACTACCATCCAATACGAAGTTTTGAATGTTTAATGTGAGAAAGGCCCTGAACTAGATCAACTTAATATTATTTCAGTTATCCTTTCTTGTTTTAATCTTACAGAGTGAGAGTATATTGTTTATGTGTTTTAAGTTCCTGATGCTGTACAAAGAGAAACAAATACCTAGTAGAATCTGGGTGATGATATAAAACTTTTAAAAAGTGTTTATTTTTTATGAATAAACAAGTTTCTGAGATTCTATGACTCACAATAGTTTGATATTTTAAAATCATTGTCAAGGCCATACTTGAAAACTGATTTCAAATTTAGACAGATTCTTAGTGTATATTGATTAATCAAAGATACAGTATAGATTGGTATTATCTTTGATATTACAGATTTATATAAAAAAGGGAGTATGAAGATATATCTGGGACATTTAATGTTATTTTTATATGTAGCCAAAATACATCTTTACCATGGCACAATGCAATAACAAAATACATGTCAAAATTTACTCAACATTAAATTTTAACTTTATGATAATTGTGGAAAGCGTGAAAATTTTTAAGTAAATTTTTATTGCCACTAAAAATGGTAGCAGTAAATGAAAGAAGTATTTGACTCAAAGTTGAATTAATATTCATGCAAAATATTATGATCACCTGTACTGATTCTCCCCACGCATAGAATGAAACATGATAAAATTCTTAGCATTTCCTTTTTATTAAGAGCTTAGACCAGAACTGATTCTTCAGTGTCATCTTTTTTATTATGGGATATAAAATTAGGTGCAGTAGTTACTTTTATTATAACATTATGAAGGAAGTATGCTAAGCTGCCGGACATGATAAAATCCATGGAAACATCCAGATAACAAGCTTTATGATAACGTCAGATAATCAGATAATAAAACCCTTTAATTTTACCCAGCATTTTCAGAACCATCCTTATTATTCTATATAAATCAAGATGGAATTCAAAATTCATAGGTGGAACAGAAAGAAAATGGTGAATAATACAGTGTCCTCAAAATTGTTTTATATGTTCATTTCTTATTAGCAGCATGTGGAAATGAGCTGAACCAAACTGACCATTTATGTTTAGAGAAAATAGTTTGAATAATGTTTAGCTCAAGATAGTGGGTTTGAATAGCTACAGTATTATTTTCCTCTGTACTTGGAAACATAAACACCACACCATGTAATAGAAGGGAGGTTTTCCACCAATATCCATTCAGGTACTGTCATGTCAGTAACATAGGTATCAACACTTTACAAAAGCCCAAGACTGGAAATACGACAATTTAGGAAAATATTAAAAGTGGATGAGAAGTGATAAGTCATAGAAAATCCTTAGGCATTCATATGCTCATTTACTTAGGAAAGAGCGTGAATACTAAACAAAACAAAATGTTCAGAGAGAAAAACTTGCAAGTAAAACAGAAATGTGTGAGTTGAGAGAACATTTCTATTTCTATCATATTAACATAAAAATTGAAAGAGTGTAATTGGGAATATTTTCAGGGATGATTCCATAAAGGATTATTCCCTGTATTTAAAAGATTGTGCTATATCTAATCTTGGTTGAAGAATTGGAAAGTACAAAAAGCAGCAGATAAATCAGTCCATGGAAAATAGATGAGAAAAACAGAAATAGGGTTTTCTGAGGCTCAAGTAGGTTCTATCATGGGTGAAAGCCTTACGAACAACTTATCAATTTGGATGAACACTTTAAAAAATGCACTCGTTTGAGTCCAGTGGCACTAAGCAGGTGTGTTCAAATAGATTCGGCTTAGTTGATGATGAGATTGTTAACTCTAGGTACATAGGAAAAGAACATACATGGTTGCATATTGATTTGCTAGTCTTAAATAATATCAGAAAATACTATCTGATTCTTGTACAGAAGTTGCAATTACCTAGAAATTGCGTTCGGTCACATTTCAATCACACTTGACCTTTTTGCGGTCACCTGCGTGTTGCAAGAACACAGCTGTATTCTAACCTAAAGTCATGGCATTAAGATCTCACTTTTGTAAATTTTCATAAAGGCTAAATCAGTGCAGATATTTATGAAAATAGCACAGCTTCGCACTAACACTTGCAGTGCTTAAATACATCCCTCCGTTAACTCACAGGTTTATGTGTAAGTCTGGGATTACTCATGGTTGAAACAAGAAAATATTTAAAGGCGTTCACACCACATCCGTGCTTGAGCCTGCAGATCCGAGGATGACTTAGCGCGCTTTTGTTTGAGTAACTGTGTGAACTCTGTCGGACTGTCTGCTCTTGGCCCGGCTGCGTTTGTCATCTGTGAGATAAGGCCCAGTTCAGCTATCGCACACGGTTGCTGGGGCCGACGAGCAGTCCCTGACCCACGGAAGAACCGCGTCGTTGTGGGAGCTGATGCGATGCGGCTGCCCTCGCGGACCCCTTTCCTTCCAGGGCTGAGGGCTCTGCGCGGCTTCACAGCGTGTTTGTGATCTGAGTCCACTTTCTCACCCCACCTGGAAGCCGGGTGTTCCTCTGTCCCTGCTCATGTCTTCCAGTCTCGTGTTCTAGGCCCGCAACGCTCTGCTCCTCGGACATTTCGCTTTTGCATTCAGGTCTGTGATGGACTGTGATTTCCTTAGAAAGGCCTACTGGCCATCGTCTTCCACGGTGGCCCTCGTCTTCCACGGTGGCCCTCACTCCTCCTTGCTTTTATTCAAATCACTTAGCCACCTGGTATTACAATATACACATACTTTTTTTTTTTTTACTTGTTATGTCTTTATCTCTTCTTAGAATGTAAGCCATAATGGGCAAGGAATCCTCTGTCTTGTTCATTTGTTCTTGTCTAAAATTGTTTGTAGCACATAGTAAGTGGACCAATAAATATTCCTGAATACAACAGTGAATCCCAATCTATTTTACTTGGTCATGCATAGAACCACATTGAGTTTTGTTAAATAATAATATGGAATTAATATATTTTTCAGAATAGGTCACCACTGGGCAGTACTCGGGTACACTAAGATTTTTCAAAAGGTTTCTAGTATATGAGTTTGGCGTTTTAACTTGTTTGGACGTATTGGTATCATCCCCAGGGATGACAAAAGGTGATGTCTATAAACTGTTCAGTCAAAACAGGTCCTATGATAAATGCCGTAGAAATTCTCATATGAATAAGTTACCATGAAGTGTGATGAATACGAAAATGTGCAATGTGTGAGAATTCTGCTTTCTGGTTGTAATACAATACTTGGCAACAAATATATTGTTAGACTTGCAAGGCTACTGGAAACCTACAAGGTAGCTTCACGATCTTTCGATCTTTCGAATGACCTGAAAGGACATTAGATATCAAATACACTAAAGGCTGGGAGACAAATTCGAGAAATAAATGGAGGAAAGGAATATGTGGTTTTTTATATTTCCAATTATGTCTACCTGTCTATCTATACATCTATGTATCTATCTATCATCTATCTATTGAGATAAATTGTGATTTCCTGGAGGAGGGGAGAATAGCACCTCTATCACAAAGCAGATCCTTAGGACGTGTTAGAATGTGTCGCTGCCGTCTTTTCCTAGAGAGCTCTGAGGATGGAAGGCTGACCAACTGGTCTGAAATGGCAGACAGTCCAGGAGCGGGACAAAATGCAGCTCCTAGCTGTTGACAAGGCAAAGCTGCATGAATTTCCCATAGGTTAAGGAGATGGCAGCTCTAGAAATTTTGCACAGAGGGAAGGTGCTGAGAGGAAGCTTAAACCAGTCATCCACAGCACATGTCATATGGGCTAAAGAAAAATACCTCAAGTCCTTAAAATGTCTCCACATACCCTAAGCAATAGCCCAGGACAGAGTGCCAGCATTCTATGCATGACATTGCAGAGGAATCCAGCTGTGGGATTACGGAAGCGCCGGCCATGTTTATCGTGCCCCTTACTTCTATCTCTGGAATCAGAAGTCCAGAAGCAGCAGTTAGTGGGAGAGAGTGAGAGAGAGAAACTTACATTGGATGTAAGGAAAAACATAATTTAAAAAGTGTTTTTGACACTGACCAGAAGCTGTGCAACCTGTCTGGGATTTGGCCAAGATGGGCATCAGGAAGATCAATGCAAATGTGTGTCAAAACTGAGTAGTATCAAACATTTTCATGATGTTTCTTTCAAGTTCAAACTAATCAATAACCTGGATACATTAAGATATCAAATCGACTTGGAATTTCATATATTTTAAATAATTCAAAAATCGATTCTTATCTAAATCAGAAGCAAACTACAAAAAAGTAAACCTAATTTATAGTGTCCTTAAAACATTTGTGAGCATACAAAAATAGTTTTCACTCTATTTCATGTCATTCTTTTGTGCTTATTCATTTTAATATTTAAAATGTGGTATGTTCTATTGAGTTCTGCAGTGCTAAGTGATTTATCTCAGCTACAAATAAGGTGGACATGGAAAATAACTCATATGCATGATTACATACAGGCACAAATCTGTAGAACGTTTTGTCTAGGAAAGGGAGTGCAGCTGATGTAAGTATTCACATGTTTCCATAATATTATCTCATTTTCATGCTAGTGAGAAAAAGTGGTCTATGAAGTATATTTTTAATTATTTTCCGGTTGCTAACATTTCTTTGTTGTGTAAACTTTGATGCATTATTTAAATGTTTTCTTTGGGCACCTTAATTTGTACAATAGGGATACTAAAAATACATACTCAGACTTTTGTAGGAATCAGCAAAAATAACACATATAAAGAATGAATTATGCCTAACAAAGAGAATTTATGATATTTTATCTGTTATTGT